TATCACAAATTTCGCGCATATTTTATCACGTATATATGTATATGTTGCTAGGGTTCGGCCATGTACGGGCGGTGTTCGGGTTCGGATTGTTCAGCTTAGTCCACATGGTACGGGCGTGTACGGGTTGTGATCGGGTTGTGTTCGGGTTGTGTTCGGGTGGTGTTGTTATTAAGTTTTGTATATGTTTTTAAAAAGTTTGGTGATAACGCATAGAAACAGTTATGAGCTTCATCATGTGCATGTCGCAACGAGATGATGATGGAGACTTGCAGTCATACGTACATGATGAGTATGCCAACACGACATCAGAATGGAGTTGTGTGCTATGTATTAGGCAGCATGTGTGTGTGTGGGGTTCGCATGAATGTGAGAAACACATTATACAGCTCCTAGGTATGTGATAATTGAACCGAATATTTTCAAGAGATCATTAAATAGAGTTCATGTGTCATGCCGAAACACCTAAAGCATATTTCTACATCATGCATTTCAGAGCACCCAGTGCACGCATCATATGTTATCGAAACAGCATATGTTTATAAGTATATATATATATATGAATGTATAGCAATGTCCCTGCTATAGTTTGTGCATTTGTTGGATCTAGTGCAGGAGGCTGCAGCAATATTAAGCTAGCAATCCCGAGTTAATTCGAATTGGACCCATGTGCAGCTGTTGGGTTATTGCGGGTGTTGAACAACCCGTACCTGCACACAGTCCAAACTCGCACACAACCCAAACCTACACAACCCGAACGCGTACACAACCCGAACCCGTACACAACCCGAACCCGAACCCGTACACAACCCGAACCCGAACCCGTACACAACCCGCATCCGTGCACGGTGTATGCATGTTATGGGTGTCGATACGAGAAAGTTCTTGGAATCTATGGATTTCAAGAATAATATAGCTTTTTGGGCGATTGGATTTGGGTACAGAGGAGGATGACCTATATATCGTGAAATATAGCCTGCAGGCCAATCATGACACCTTAGACCAGAGTCTAGAGGCATCGGTGCATGAGCTGCAGCATACACACATATACACGTATATACAGATGCGCATATGCACACAGAGTTGTATATGCACATATATATATATATATGTGTGTGCTCATGCATGCATCGCCTGAGAACGCAGCTCGAAATCTATTGTTTCCCCAGCACCTGAGCCGACTCCTGGAAACGGGATGAATCGAGGCTCCAGTGCATGTCCGCGGCGGCTGCACTCATAACTGCGATCAATCTGAAGACCAACACAAAATGAGTTCATGACACCAACGTATCGTACTGAGAGGTACCTTGGGCAGCTCTCTATGATGCAGGCCGACTGCCCCGCAACTGGGAGCTAGCTAGCTCCGTTCAAGCTTCACTGGCCCCATTCCAAGGCCCGAAGCAGTTCGCAAACCGAGAAGCTTCCTGAAACAGCACTGAGCTCAATCCTTCAATGAACAGCCGGAAGACGGTGTTAATTTTGCGCATGACATATAACGACCGCGCTTGTAACCATCACTCGGCACCTCTAATCCAGCGGCTTCTCGCGAGATATGCGGCCACGTGAAAGAGCTCGGCCTCCAGGAGCCAGCAAAAACGACAACGTGTTCGGTGTGCAATTGATAACGAACGCAAGGCACATCCGCGAACTCGGTCCCCGGGTCCAGGTCTGGGTTGCCGTCCTGGGTGTAGAACAGTTCATACCTCAGCAAGCACTGTCATATCAACAATACGACATGCACAAGCTTCGAGGAATCCCCGGTATATGACGCCCAAGCGACCCTGTCATCTCTTCAAATATGGTCGGAGGAGCCAATGGCATGCATGGTTTGTGCTTTTGGAGCTTCGCATCGGCCAGGACCAACTTCGCGATGCGTCGGGCCAATGGCTTCGGGTATTCCCTCAGCGGCACTGCAATGCCCGGTCAATTGTTGACTTCACAACTCCACATATGACGACTGCAACATACTGCCGGGAAGGTACTGTGTCGCCTTCAAAGACGTGTTTCCATACACCTTGGAGCCCTTTCTCCTTACCGTTTCGGGAGCCCAAGCTTCAGCCGTCTCCGCTCCGACAATCGCTTCCGCCTTTTGTTGAAAGCTTTGTAGAGCCCCTCAACCCACAACCTCAACTTCGACAGAAGAGTTATTTTCAGACATGCGATGGGCACCTGTGGTGGCCATATGTCAATCTCTCAAAAGCGCAGTCAAGAGAACTTATTGGAGAAGAAGGAGGTTAGCTTGGGACACCAGTGTCTATACGATCCCAAAAATGTGTTGATCTTGTAGGTCTCACTCGGATCAACGGCAGCCGGGGCGGCCGGGTGCTTTGTCATTAACGATGAAGCCGGCTGCTCCAATATCCATGATCCACACAGGCAGTTGAGAAGCTTCACCACGAGGAAAGTCCTAAGGCAACATGCTGCGCCAGACACAGGCAGTGCAGAAAGTCACCAACACACGCACCACATACCGGCCCTTTGCGCACACACACACACACACACACACGCACCACAGACACACACACCACAGACACACACACACACACCACAGACACACACACACACCACAGACACACACACACCACAGACACACACACACACACGCACACACACACACACGCACACACACACACGCACACACACACACGCACACACACACACACACACGCACACACCCACACACACACACACACACACACACACACACACACACACACACACACACACACACACACACACACACACACACACACACACACACACACACACACACACACACACACACACACACACACACACACACACACACACACACACACACACACACACACACACACACACACACACACACACACACACACACACACACACACACACACACACACACACACACACACACACACACACACACACACACCACACACACACACACACACACACACACACACACACACACACACACACACACACACACACACACACACACACACACACACACACACACACACACACACACACACACACACACACACACACACACACACACACACACACACACACACACACACACACACACACACACACACACACACACACACACACACACACACACACACACACACACACACACACACACACACACACACACACACACACACACACACACACACACACACACACACACACACACACACACACACACACACACACACACACACACACACACACACACACACACACACACACACACACACACACACACACACACACACACACACACACACACACACACACACACACACACACACACACACACCACAGACACACACACACACATACACATACAGACACACACACACACACACACACCACAGACACACACACCACAGACACACACACCACAGACACACACACACACACACACACCACAGACACACACACCACAGACACACACACCACACACACACACACACCACACACACACACACACACCACACACACACACACACACCCACACCACACACACACACCCACCCACCCACCCACCCACCCACCCACACACACACACACACACACACACACACACACACCCACCCACACACACACACACACACACACGCACACACCAAGGTATCATACCTATGCCAGCATTACCAGATCTAGGCTCGCAGGTCCTGGCCACCGTACAGTTCGCAGCGCACACACACTGGGAAGCTCGGTGCGTCCTCGAGGCAAGTCCTCACCTCAGGCGACCCGAATCATTAAGCCATTAAGCTGATTAAGTTAGCCAACTGCGTGGACTATCGTAGCACTCAAAATATGCGGCACATGAGTTTGCACCCAGGCTCTCCTGCCGGTGCTGAAGCGGTTCATCCATACCCACGTACTGCAAACTGGTTGCAACAGTGCAAACCTGCAAAACTCTGAAGATCGAGTCTAAAGAGTGGAACCATGCACAGACGGGCTGGAACAACGGTGCGAAACCCCGGGCACAAACGGTGTTGCGGCCTCGGCCCCGATGGCTTCAAGCACAGCAGGGAGTACAGAACCAGCCTGACAGCATTAATCCAGGACTGCACAGAGATGCACTGAAGCAAGCCCTCACCTTCAATATTTGCGAAAACGTGGAACAAAGTCCACAATCGTGAAGACTGAGGTTCCTGCGCAAACCCGGCCGGCGTGTTGATGTCCATCGACTCGTGGAGTTCGATGTCGTGGGACGATACGCTGAATCCGACTGATACCAGCACGCCATTCAACAAACCCCACTATGGCATCAAAACTACCGCCATCACACGCACCGTGCCTTGACGGAGCCCTTGCCTGAAAAGAGATCCAGAACGTCCCATTTGGGAGTAATCGGTAGCTCTGTGTTCCAAATCCTTGATCGTTGAAAGCAACGGAAGCTTGAACCAGCAATCCAGCGCATACTCGGATGGACTCCTGCAACAAGAATGTTGAGGCGGCGACACCATCAAGATGCAGAGTATCAGCAGCTTCGGAACCCCAGATCCAATCAGTGATCGAACCAAAGCATCGTAGGCACTTGTTGTCCTGCGCCAGGGCAGGCCACGGACCTTGCCAACAAGCCAGTGATATGACTCACCCGATCAGGAATCCCAAGCCTCAGCAAATTGAAGAGACACCACCGCGTGGCCACCATGTCTTCGCACGACACGTACCGCGGGCTCACGACTTGAACAAAAAGCTTCAAAGCCCAGCTTTCAATCTGCAGGAAGCAAGACATGATGTCACACCCACACACGAACACTTGCAGAGTGCAGGGGTGGGCGTGCCAGGACCAGAAGCTTCTGGATCCGAAGTCGTCGGAGCATCTGAAGTCCCAGCAGTACCTGCAAATTACAAATTAAGATAGGTTCAATCTACTGTGACAAGGGCATCGATTCCTTGCATGGCACAGCTAGCACAAACACCGCTCCAGAATGAAATTAATTCTTTCACACCGCCCGCTCAGTGGTTCCTTTGTGACATCTTGTTCCGTCTCAGAGAGCCACTTCCACAGAAAGCTTGAAAGTTTTCTCCAGCTCAGCAATGTGCTTCTGCACGTCCTTCTCTTCCTTGAAATCTTCAAGATTTGGATTGGCCTCCATCACATGGTTGTACCATTCTTCCTGCGGTCGCTCAGCTATAGCGGGTACTAAGTACATGGTTTGCGGAGTCCTGGCTCTTAACCAGTTTTTCTTTTTTGTTTTCGGCTTGATCTTCCTCGGATAGCAGTCAAGCTGAGCCAAGCAAACAAAGTTGCCAAGACAGACAACACACCACAGCGACAACTAAGAATCAGGCACGGACGGAATTCAGGAAAGGCTCTCGTACCAAGTCACGTTCATATGCTGAAACCTCCAGGATCTTGGCGCTGTGTGCGGGGGAGTCCTTCCTGCAAAATTCTTGAACATCCCGTCCGACTGGAGCTTTGCTGCGCCACCGGCAGAGCGCTTTTTGGGGGCGGCGTCGGGGCCCTCCTTCGGCTTCGGTTCGCTCTCGCCCTTCGGGTCATTGTTCTTTGGGCCAGCTTTCTCGTCTTCCATCGTTGGGGCCGGCTTGGGCTCCTTGGGCTTAGCGTCCTTGGCACTGTATGCATACATGATATGAGCCACGTACAAGCAACTTAAAAAGCAATTCAGCACAATTGTGGACGAGCTACCTGGGCACCTGGGGCCACAAAGGCCCGTTCCTGCGAAATGTCGGCATGGGTGCCCTTATCATGCTCCAGCTCTGACTCATCAGAGATATCCAGCGGATCCTGCCTATCACGCTTCCTCTGGATGAGGCTGCTCCAAACCTGGATTTCATGAAGCTCTGCTGGGGTCGCATACACATCTGTGGCACGGCACAGATGTGTGATCTCAGCATGCTCACGTGACTCACGTTCCTTCGCAAGCACTGCTACCCTGGAAAGGAAGATGCTGCAACACCTTCCCTCGCCTGAGGACGGCACCGATCTTTCCAGAGCGGAGCAACCAAACCGGTGTGCTCTCCTGGCTCCAAGGGTTGTACCTGGAGAGGTCCCCTCCGGCTACGCCGCCAGGAGAGATGCGGACGTGGAGAGACATAGAGGGCTTTCTCCAGCCGGGAGGTCTCCTTAACCACCAGAGGTCTCCTCCGAGGAGCGCTCGATTACCCAGGCGTGGGTCTGCAGCAGACACACCTTAACCCGGATGCCTGGCATTCCCGGTGGGACCCTGCAGGCCATGGGCTGGGACCTTTGGGTGAACCAGCCACAAAAGTGACCGCGCTCGAGTCCACCCAACATGAGGGTGGGAGCTTTGTTGCCGCTGGGATCCCCCGCCTAGGAAACACCCACCTCACGGTCATCAGCCTCTCTTGAGAGACACCGAAGGCACACGGCCCTGTGAATGCCACCATCCAGGGCCACCACGGTGAAAGTGGACTGGCAGGTCCTGGCGGCCGCATGGCTGCTCGTTGAGATTGCCGGCTTCTTTCCCGAAGCTCAGCCCCTTGAACACAGACGGCCCTGCAAGTTCTGTGAACCTCTATAGGTCTCTGTGATGGGGCATTTGGTCCCACAGTCGGACAGCCTTACCTGGGTCTTGGCGCGAAGCTTGGGCAGGTTGCCCAGAAGACGGACGCGGGTGGAATCCCCAGGCCATCTGGGGCCGCTCGCCTCCAGCAGACCCACACAGCCCCCCTTCCACACACCACTTGGTTGGTGGACAAGCTTGCAACGCCTCAGCCTCAGCCACAAGAGGGACTGGACAGAGGGACTCGCCCTCCAGAATGGCAGCAAACCCCGACCAAGAAAAAGCTGTGGAGAGACTGCGTCAAGCCGTCCAAGCGGAGGATGACCTCGAGCAGTTTCAAGAAGACCTTGAAACCAAGGTTCAAAGAGCTCCACACGGAGCAAGCCCAGCAGCAAACCAAGCACTACAAAGCTTGGTTGCAGCAAGGTCTACCTACGATAAAATCCACCACGGCCTCCTCGACGAGCGCATGTCGCCCGCTTGGTTGTTCAGGCTTACCAAGGGCGACGCTACCTGGTAGCTGAAGACCAGCTCTCCCAGGGCATCACCCCTTGCACCGGCATTCGAGCCGGCTCCTTTTGCCACCATGACAGCCGTTTTTTTTCAAGCCCAGGCCCAAAGCCCTGCTCTTTCAAGGTTCTGCCGAATGGCTGAACCAATGCGGTGGCCTAGGGGCCTTGGAGGCCCTGGTACCTGCCTTCAACAATCTTTTCAGGATCTGGGAAACTTCGAACCGCCAAATTTTGATAATGCTCCAGCGCCCGACTGCGCTCCGAACCGACAGAAACCGGCGACCGATACGCATATGACCAGCCTTTACTATAAAAAACTTGCAAAAAAATGTCTTCCAGGCAAGCCCACCCAGTTGGATTGATTGTGGGATTCCTCCGAAACAGCAGTCAATTTCAGCTGACATCTCGCCGGCCAGCCGAAGCTGGAAAATGCTCCAGCTGAGCCCCGAATTCTAGACTTCAGGGTGGGGATCAATGACTATATAACCGACATCTACAAAATCATTCTTTCGGAGAGCGCGTGCACTCCAACGGGGGACAGGAGAATCCACGATTGATCCATAAGTCTTTAGACTGGAGAACAACAGGTCCTTGATGTGTTTCAGTGAATGCCGAGGACAATGTAGAGGACCGTCTTGCCCATCCATACTTGCATGGAGCACAGTGAAGAACCCTGAGACCTTGTCATGAAGGAGAGCCTCGTCATCCTGTGCTGTGCGACTCGGAACCCAAGATCAAGAGCCGATGCTCCAAACATGTCAGAGGCTTATCAACTTATCAACTAGAACTCTGAGAGATACCATTTGTTCCCCCATGCCAGAAGCTACCACTCAGCTGGTCCTGGACGTTTCCAAACTTGTAGGTGATGTTTTCGCTGTCTGCCTGATTCCCATTGATCAGACCGGAATAGTTGGTCAGGTTTTGGATCGCCAAGGGGAAGGCCACAGCCAAATCAGCAAACTTGCCCCAACTGTCAAGGTTCGGATCATCTTCAGAATCATCCTCGAAAAGCCCGGCATGTTCTGCATCCCATGTGTTGTTGTCCCCAGATTCATTATGGATGCCTGCGTCGTCTGGCTCCAGGTTAAACTTAAAGGAGTTCACTGGGCCGAGGTTCAGATTGCAGAAGATGGCAACGAGCAACAAGCTGGGCACGCACGGAATGCTCTGCTCCATTGCTGCATTGTGGCGGACACGGTGCCTAACGGGTGACGCTAGGAGGCCGGAGTGGACTGCAGCACAGCCCTGATTCCTACTAACGTCTCGCATTGTGTTACCATTCTCTCGCACCCTGCGACTGTGAAGCAAGCCTCAATCTGCAGACTTGATCCGGCACCTTTCTCGCGGCATCTCTCTGTCATCTTAAGTCGATGTTTCATTTGAGATGTACCGGAGCGCCGCATGTAGGAAGACTTGACCCTCCGGTCCCGGCTAAGACCTGCGACATAAACTTGCAATCTCGATGGGTGCCCGCAAGATGTTGGAAGCATTCAGCTACGTGTGCAGTCTGCCTTCGACCCTGCAGACCCTAAGCCTAAGCCCTCAAAACGGCAGTAAGCAGGTTTGTTCTTGGATGGACATGGGAAACGAAATCTCCCCCTCTGCAGGTAGGTCTACAGTCTACAGGAGCCGGAGGCCGTAGGTATCACGATCTAACAGCTCTCTTCCGTTTTTGCTCACTATTATTGAATTCCTGCCGCAGTACGGCGACATTGCTGCTGCTCTAAGTTTCAACCAACGTAAACACCTTTAATTGGGACACTCGCAATCGAGCACGAGCTTTCGGCCGGCAAGTCGATTCTACAGAGCGCGAAGCTGGAGAGAAGTGGGGCCCAACATGAATGGCATATGACATATGAGGTAGGCTGGGCGGAGCAGTGCCATCTTCAACTTGCACAGATGCTGCCATGACTGTGCGCTGTAGTCAAACGCCATTCAACTGCAGCGTCGGGGGCGGGGGCAAATCCGCAGAAAAGAGCCCAGAAATGTGGCGCCACCCACAGGGAAAAGGCGAAGCCAGCCAACCAGTGGCGGCGCACCCGAAGGTGAGAGGGGGACAGTCCCCAGGCCAAAGACCACCAGGTCGGAGGCAGCGCGTAAGCGAGCAAGCGAGTGGCACGAGTGGAGCGACTGGAACGGTAGAGCGAGTGGAGCGAGTGAAGCGAGTGGAACAGACGGTTTAGCGCCCGCCAACGCCGACGCCGACACTCTCTTTCAATTTTTCAGTGTGTATGCTTTGCATTTCTGGCCCGCATGTCTTTAAAACTCGGTACGAAAGGGTTAACGGCGTTGGTCCCTGTTAACGATGTGAGGACTGACCGGCTGATCTAGGCGACGGGACCCTCATCTTATCTTTTCGGCTGCAGGCTGGCGACCCTGTGCATCCTGCTCCGACTGCATCATCCGCCCTCGCTTCAGAGCCATGGCCTTGCCTATGAAACAGATTGTGATGAAAAAGGCAATGAAGGCGCCCATGAAGGCCAAGGCAATGAAATCAATGAAGACCAGTTGATAGCCTGGAGAGTGTGCATCGCAAAGGGTACCTCTTCGTTCTTGACACACCTCTTTTGTGGTCACACAGGTGACCAGAGTCGTACCGTCTTTCTGAGGCGATGAAGAAGAAGGCCGTTAGCAAGATCGCTCGTGGCAAGCTGGCAAAGACGATCGTTTTCAAGGGGCGCAAGGACTTCCGGGTTTCTGCAGGAACAGACTGATGCCCCACCTTGCGGCAGCAATAGGGAGCAATCTCAAGGTGGTACGTCTCATTCTCCCTGTACATGCTACTGGCCCGCGTGTCGGTTGTTAACGGACCCAAAGTGAAACCTCCGAAAGCCTTCGCATTGCTTACCCCGGCTAAGGAGAAGACGTCGACCGGCCTCCAGAAGATGCATCTGATGAAGAACAAGCGCGGCAAGGCATCCGTGCGTCACTTCTGCAGCATTTTCGTGTTACATCCTCTTGTTCCAGATAGAGACTGCTTGCTCGAGGGCAGTCCAATGCTGCCTTACATCCCTCTCTGTCTTCGAAAACACGCGAGTTGCTTGTTGTTGAGACGACTTGTCAGACCGTCTATGTGCGCTTGCGCTCCTCCGGTCTCTTTGCCATCAGGTGGTCACCAAGAAGCAGCACGCCATTGGCAAGGCGTTGTTCAAGAAGACCGGCCAGCGATGGCTCGAGGCGTGCGTGACGGCCAGGAGGGAGTTGGGAGTCAAGGGCTTTTGTGCCATTGGCGGAAAGAGTGCTCAGGGCAAGGCGCTCTATGCCAAGGCCAAGTCGCTGTATGCGGCTTGAGTCCCGCATTAACGGGCACAGGATGGCGCCTGCTTTCGTGGTAGTTCACGGAGCGTGCGCACCTCGCCGATGCGACAGAGCCCGCCGGACATGAGAAACATGATGCCGCAGGCTTTGAGCCCTCAGCGAAGGCCGAAGTTCAAGCGTCTGATCCATCAGAGCAAATCCTGAATGCTGCAACAGCGACAACGTTTCAGGCTCTCGAGTCGAGAATGCAGCGTACAGTGTATCTGCCGTCGGCTTTGTTGTCGGCCCTGCAGTGCTGATTGGCCATTTGCTGCGCGGTTGGCCCCCGCTTCTTCTGTTGCTGCAGTTTAATCTGCCAACAGGTTGGTTTTGATTTTCTATGGTCAGAAGAAGAACTTTCTGGCCTATCCTCCCGCTCCTGCTCTTCGGTTTTGGCCTTATTTGGGCAGGTCAACCACCTCGCGATCCGCAGGTTCCAGGAACCAGGGTGGCACCGGCGGAGACGCAGACAGCGTCTCCAAGCCCGACTCCGCCTCCGCCGTGGCCGAGGGACATTGAGAGACAGCCTACTCCTACACCAACACCACGGGTCGATGCCACCCAAGGGAGCTCCTCCGAAAGAATGGGCTCGAGGCAAAGGAGACAGCAAAAGAAACAAGCCGGAAGGGCCCTTGCCGACTACGTCCACTGTCCAGCTAGGATTTCCGCAGGAGGTGATTGCGGCTCTGCAGTCTATTCGCGACAGATCTACGTCGGACCTGCGGTTATACGATTTTACAGTGGACGAAGACCGGACACTTATTCAGGCGGCCAATCTCCAGGCCTCTGCTGTTGCCAGAGCCACGAAGCGTCTCGAGGCGAATGCAAAAGCCAAACTGGGGCTCCAGCAAGTGCTTCCGGCATGGCTGGACAAGGTGGGACGCCATCCCTCGCCAGATCAACGGGGTTGGAGCCAAGCTCGATGCCGACATTCAAGAGGCCATCATGGCACTGGACACAGCATCGCAGGGTCTGCGGTGGCAGGGCAAGCGGCGGCACTGAGACAGCAGGCGACAGAGGTGCTTGGCCCAGCAATCCCAGCCGTGGTTGGGCAAGAAGTACTTCGGCTGGCTGCGGAACTCCGTGCGGCAGGGGCGGTCACCCCACCAGTGTCAACGATACCGCACCAGCCGGCAGCGCTTCCTCTGTTCGGGAGTGCAGAAGAGGGAATGTCAATCGAGCACGCCAGCTTCGCCTCCTTTCCTGCCAGTTCAATTCCCTCCCTGGAGCCCGGCAGTCGATGGTGGCAGGGCGACTCGAAAGTCTGGACACGCCCATTCCGTCAGGTGCTGGCTTGGGGCGGAGATGGGGCCAGAAGAGGATGACAAACCTTGCGACGACAAGGCCCTCCAAGAGGCCCCGCAAAGCGGAGAAGACTACATCCGAGGGTCTCAGGGAGGCCCCTATCTGTGGCTACGGGCAGGTCCCCCACTACGAACAAGCCGACGGAGCATACACCAGCAGCCGCCCCAGGTCCAGGGAAGGTAGAGGCAGGCTCGATCGGACTGACTGCGGATGCAGGCCCAGGCGAGCGAGACTGGCTGTTTGCGCAACAAGCGTGGCTCCATGCTTGGAGTACTATGGTTCAACGCGTGACCGCTCAGGGGCAGGATCTGGTTGGCGATGTTCCGGGACACACAGAGCAAGGGCATCTACCAGGACAGCCGGCCAGCGCCGACGAGATCCAAGAGTGTCATCGACAAGCCGAGACCCTCTGGTCGGCCCTGCTCGCACATGCGGAGCATCCCGACGAGGTGAAGTGTCACCACATCCTGCAGGTGTCCCGAGAACTCCAACACCTCGGAGGGATGCAATACATTCGCAGCCGGTGCTGGTCACCTCCTGCCGACAAGACCTGGTGGCTATGGCTCATCTTCTCAACCAAAGAGTGATGGGGCTCAGCAACTTCGCCCCGCAAACGCTGCAGGAGTGGGCGAACCCCCACGAGGTCCTCCGACAAGGCCTGCAACCGCAGGGACATCTGGCAACGACTCGGACGGAGGACGAAGCGGGGAGCTGATCTTGCGAGAGCAAGACTGCCCTTTCGAATGAAGCGCTGGGAAGTCGGACAAGGGCTCTTGATGTGATTCGAGGGCTTGACGAAGGTGTTGTACAAATGTTCTGGCGAGCCTGTACAGTGATTTTTGTGGGAAGTCTCACCTTCCTTGTCCGACAGCTGCATGGCCGCTACCTGGGCTTCCTCCGCCTTGGATTTGGGCTTTCCTGTCGCCCTACGCCTTGCAGGCCTTGCAAGGGCTCCTCTGTGCAGCGCTCCCGCTTGACAGGTCATGGACGGGGCACTAAGGCCGGTGGTGGCAAGCATGGTCAGGCCGGCTTTCTTTTATGGCTCATCGCCTCTTCCCATGCCCATGCCTGTGTGTCCGGTCCGCTGGTGCAACCCCGTGCCGTTCGGGATGATGGCAGCACTGACCACTACTGCCCTTTTGAATTCAGGGGTTCAGATGAGGCCGTCCAGGACACTGTGTCACTCGTGCAGGTGAGGCATAGTAGGCGGTTCAGGGGGGAATCCCTTCTTACAGTTGGACCCGTCCCGCGGGCGCACGGGTTACATGAACTCGAGGTCCCCATCATCAATTCCGCTGCCGGTCTCCCGAACCCAGGTAGTCCCGAGCCTAGCTGCCTCAGGCCCATCGCTGTCTTTGTGGCGATACGTCTGGCGGCCCAGTTCAGGTTGCGGTTGACACTCGCCTGCATGGGGTTCAGCTCCATAGGGTCATTCTGCAACTAGTTGGACTGTCCTTCCAGCTCTGGCATGTCCATGAGCTTCAGACGCTGCTGCCTGCCCTGCCTATGGAACAGGTTGTTGTCATCCCTAATGATGTGGCATGCAACCAGGCATGCATTCCGGTTGACCTCTGTGCCCTCGGCGGTGCTATCTCCGTGGTCAGAGGGCCACGTCAACAGCAGGTCTGCTATTTTCTAGTGGCGGCTGCTAGAAGCCAAGATCTGCCCTTGGACCTCGCCTCTACCGTTTGTAGTACCAGGCATGGCTTCTTTGAGCCGGAGTGCCAGGCACTCCTCCTCCACGGTAATGATGCCTTACAAGCACTGCCTGTGTATGCGGATGAGGTGAGAGGAGACAGTCACAACCCCGATTTATCGGTGGAACACCGCATGGCGGTTAGCTCCTTCGATGGAGCGACCCAAGGGTTTGAACTGTTGGCCAACCCCATGCCCGAGCAGTGGTCATCACGCTCACCGGCCTTGTCTTTTATGACACTGACCCTTTTCAGGACAGGGACGAACTCCTCCGTGAGGCGTATGAGGCGGTGAGTGATATCGGACCTCTCCGTCTGCAGAGGGTCCGGCCACACATGCCGGGGCTGCCGCCGCTTCAATTTGTTCAGGCCGTGCAATCTGCCCTCCAGGTGACATATGTGGTCGATGCCCGAGCTATTGGGGGTGAAATTAGTCTGGTTTACCCAGGCCCCAGAGCCCCTGCAGCCGACGTCCTGATGCAGCTCCCTACCTTCAGGCAGGCCGGCCTCTCGGGGCCTGAGATCCTGCGAGGTTTACATGAGGGCATTTTGCGGCTCATCCATCAGGAAGTGGCCATCGCACCCACCACTTCTCTGGACGCTGACCCTCCCGCTTGCCTGACTCTGGCGTATAGCCGTAGGTTTCGCGCTGCGAGCCAGCCGAGGGCTAGGACCGAGACTGCGACACAGCCAGCGGCTGACACCACTCTGCCGCATCCCGGTGGACACACAGCAGAGCGGGTGCCGCAAGCCAACCCCAGTGCTGCAGGATGGATTAGTCTCGGGTTACTTCGTCAGGGATGGTTGCGGAATGTGCTTCTGGCCGGATGCTTTGCTTCCTTGGCCTCCGCTGGCCGGGCTGTCAGTGAGCCAACGGGCTCGATTGGTGCGGCTCGATCCACCCCACTCCCTCGCTACCAGCCTGACCTTGCGTATCATGATGCCTCGATGCACCTTTGCCTGCAACAGGGTTTTGTCACTGGCCTGGAGGGAGATTTCCTGCCGATTGTCTCTGGTTATGGTACCCTCCATCAAGACCTGGAGGTCAATGCCTGCCTCTGGGCACCTGACTGTTATGAGGAAGTCAGAGTCGCAGGCTCTACTTCTAGACACCGTTTTTTTGCGACCCTCACTGAGAGGGCTAGGTCATGGGGTCGAGGTCAGGTCGTTCCTGCCGCGTCGTCGCCACATGCTCTTGCGGTGCACTTTGTTGCAGTTACCACTGAACCGGGGTACCGAACCACTCTCTTCACATCAGATGCCTCTTGCATTTGCATGGACGTGCCCCGGGAGGCGCCGCAGGACTTTCTTCTGAGACAGTGTGCGGCTAAGTTGAGGTCTGACTGTGTGCGCTTTCTTCCGATGGCCACACCCCTTAGGCATGGAGATGTTATCCGTGTGGAGTTGGATAAGGAATTTGGCCGTGCCGATGCCGATGCGCGCCGCTTTCTCCTCTATGCCGAGCTTGCCCGACCATCTCGATGGTTGGATGTGCTGCCGTACCGCCAGCTTGCTGTGATTACGTTTAGTCGTGGGGTACAAATTCTGCATGACACAGTTGTTGGTCGGGCACCTCAACATGCGGTCAATGCATGGCTCCGAGAGAAGCGCATGTGCCCAGGCAGGCCATCGAAGTTGTGGAGCTCTCCAACCTGGTGGGCTTCCTTCCCTTGTTTTCAGACCGTTGTTACTGGCTCCACCAATGCTGTTTTATGGTTGCACGCGCGACCATTATGGCACCCCCGACACGGGATTGGCCATGGTCGGCTCCTTTTCAGCGGCGGTCGATGTGCTGGAGGCATGTGCTAGGGCAACCACCTCTGCCAGAGCGGTATGCAGCCTTGTGTCCACAGCAGACCTTCGGACCGTCCATACTGTACATGGCTTGTGCGCTCAAGGCACTGGCACTAAGACCTTGTTTGTCCGCATGGCATTTGACATGCAAGCGCTCCCTGGAGACAGCATATCTGTCCATCGTCAGAGGGCAACTGTCTT